TAGTACTCCCGAAGTTTCTCCTTCACTGCTGTTAATATTTTATTGATGCGTGAAGAAAAAGGCTTGGTAGAACATTTACTGGATATCCGCTATGTATCTTTGTTTGTAAGGATTTTTAAGAAGTTTCGGAATCCAATATAAATATGGTAATTCAAATTCATTTTGTATCTTATATGTGATAAATGAAGTGCATTATACTTACAATGCAATGTGTCTTCATAACAGTATGAATACACATTTTGTATTGTAGAGTGATTGAGATGCCTCAACATTATATAAGCATCTAAATTTTCATAGTTCTACAATGAAATATGAAGATAACGAACATTATTCATTCCAATGAAACGATACAAATTTGGAGCAGAGCAAACACGGCCCAAAAAATTTAGAGTTGGGATCAGGTGCCATGGAGGAGTGCCGACTGGTCACACCCGCCGTGTGCTCCTTGTCATGATTGGGGAAAAAACGAAAAATCCGTAAACAGTTCAGTGTATAAATAATGGCCTAACAATAAGTAAGAAAAACGTCAGTCAGCATTTGACTCAACGATAGGTTGTATGTGCTGATAAGGTTATTGTATCGACCATAAAACCATAATACATAAAACAAAAATACTTTTTTTTCAAACAATAATGTAAAATATCTTCTTCTTTTTTAAAAAAAAAATCCCTTCCAACAGTTGCGAAACAATTTAGTCCAAAAAGTTAGCAATAAAATTACTAAGATGTAATAGTAAAATATTTTTATTGCAACGTAAACTTAACAGGGGATACAAATCAATAACCAATACTCTGATTTGTATTGATTTATCATTTTATATCCTGTCAAGACTTTACGAGGGGTTTACCTTTTAAAATCATCCTTACACTAGGACAACTATTTGATATCAATTCAATAAATTCATAAAACTGAATGATGTGTCACCAATTCTATTTTTTATTCTTGTATTTTATTTATATGTATATACATGTATGTTCCCATTTTAAAAATTTTGGAGAATAATTGAACTGAACTGAAAAGATATTTATCGCCATTTATTTATACTTACATGTGTATCATAATAGACAGTGAGGTTACAGTTATAAGTGATGATAAATATATCTTGATAACTATTAAATGTATATTTGTTTGTTATATATTACTATAGTTCAAACAATGACCGTAAATTTTACATGGTTCAAGTACATTTTCTAATGTATTTACCAGCTATACAGGAAAGTGTTGTTGCTGCAAAGTAATTCGACAAAATTAGACAGTAAGCGTTAAACTCGGAGGAAATCTTATTAAAACACCATTAACGGAAGGAAAACATGAGAACTGAAGTCCTCGACAAACTGCACCGAGTGAAACAAAGAATTGGAGAGACGTTATGTAAGAAAAACCCCCACAATAGATATATGTCTCACTTCTTTCTTTAATTAATAAAAACTTACAAAACAATGTTTTTTTTAACTATTCTTAACCAAATAGGGTAATCACAGACTAAACAAAAAATTAACACAATCTGTTTTGTGGAATGTTATTTAAAAAGATTTTAACTTTTATGTGGAGAATGTTCAATGGTTAATTGCCCCAAAAATGAAAGCCAATCTCAGTGTAACATAAAATATATTAAAAAAAACTTCCTGTATATATATATATATATTTCCAATGGATTCTTTGGCTTCTTTGTCTATAAGACTTATGACTAAACTTACACATCCTAGAACATGAAGTTATTAAAAGGGTACATATGTCTTCTCATACGGTTTAATTTGTTAGAGGGTATCTCTTATCCTGAATATAACTAGTATAAAGTAATTTTATGATCTCATTAACTAACTAGCATTTAATATAGCAGCATTTTTATAATCCTGACAATCTTGCACGAAACTAGAGTCGTCCACGCGTGAAAGTTTTGCAAAAGGCTAGCAGAAGCGATATTAATAACCAGAAAATGGCCGATTTCCTTTGGTAATGGATATTTCAATATTCCCGTCTGCAGAGACAATATGGTCACACGTACAAAGTGTCTCTATTCACCACTGGTGGAAGGCACTGGCTTGATTAAACTGTGTTAACTCAAAGCTGAAGTAAAGGGCGACTATCAGGATTTATTAATTAAGAATTCAAATCTCAGCGGTACATTAGAAGAATTACTCTCCATTTTTTTCAGTGATTGATGTTCAATAAAAGTCGAAACCATTTTCTGTTTAGGTTTCGTGTTTCCGAATAATAATTGGTATCTGATCGACTGAAAACGAACCAGCATTTCCTATAATTACTCTGTTTGATTGATATTAAATTGATAATTCAAGTACGCGTGTAATTTAACTAACCGATTACAATTTAACCAATCAGAGAAGGAAATCGCTAGGGCTTTGTTTAATCAAATCATATCCATACATTAATATAAAAAAAGCCCGTTCTGAATGAGCAATCCAGAGACTTGTTTTGATTGAAGAATGAACATCAACCATTCTGTTATCATTTTAATGCATAAATTCCAGGACACTACTGTTTTCATGGCTTATCTGATTATACTTCCTCATGTGACATTAATAAATATTAACTTCTGTCTTCCTTTCATCACAATTACGACTCTAGTGTTAATTAATTTGCAATTATCAATTAACCAATGTGATCTTCAAATTCTCTTGTATTGTATTATAACACACTGGTTTTCTTTGAACATAACTAAAATCAAACCAAGTAAATTGAAACAATCAAGATAAATAAATAAATATATAAATAAATAAAGTTCCAATCAAGATAAATAAATAAAGTTTCAAAAAGATAAATAAATGATTAAATCAATAAATAATTAAGTTCCAATCAAGTTAAATAAATAATAAAAATAAATAAATAAATAAATTTCCAATCAAGATAAATAAATAGATAGAAAGGAGGGAAGGGAGGAAGAAAGAGAAAAAAATCTAAAATGTCAAAAAATTAACAAAAATCCCCTTCCCCCCACCACCCTCGAAAAAAACGAAACAAAAACAGAAATCAAACGATGCAGATCAAGCATACAAAAAGCCCAACGAACAAATAAATATCGCAGAAAATTTCACGAAGCAAAACATTTTGCATTTTTTTTAATGATGTTATATTTAATAACCTATGATTTAGTATCAAATGTGAAAATTGTGAATTTGCCACAAACACCATACAACTTGATTACATTTTTTTTTTATCAAGAAAAGTACTTGAAATTTTTTTTTCTATTAATAATCATTTCCAAAAATAAAAGCATCATTCTTTTTTAAAAAGGAGTAACTATTTAATAGAAGTGCACGTCTTTTTTTCTTTGTAACCATAACTATATCTGTCTTATGAATTTTTTTATTTACTAGTACCAATTTTGTCTATTTTTACGCTTTATATTGTTCTAATATTTTTTCAGCATTGAAATTCACATACATTGACCATTTTAGCTGAAATATCATGATTTTTGGCAAGAATATATATTCCTTAATTTGACCTTGAAATTTTGTGATAATTTTTCAACAGTCCACTTTTCAAGTATTTACACATTTTCCTCTAGAATTGGATTTAGAAATGAGAAATTCAAGTGCATAAATTGGATTAAGTATATTAAAGAAAGAATTTTTAAGTTGTTCATCTAAAGAAACTGATTTATTTTAGTTTTACTTGTTAAAATAAATGAAGCGCCGAAACTACAATATTAATTTCCAAAGTGTATTTCCAATGCATTTTTGTAAAAGATAAACCCAGATAAGTCACATTATTTTCTGCTTCTTTTGGAGTTATTTAAGTTTGAATTTTATGTGCTTCATGGTGCCTTATATTACTCGTGCAGAAGTACATACAAATTGAAAAAACGCTAGTTAGGTAGAATTGTATACACACCTCTGTAATAAAATTTACATGAGATGCAATTTATTAAAAAAAATGTTATGTATTAAATGATTGTAAGTACAATCAAAAAATGTTAAGAAAATCATAAAAAAAAGCAATATTGGAATTCAAATATTCTAATAAATGAAACATTTAAAAATATGACAGCTTACACATTTCAGTTTAATCATAAAATTGTTAAAAAAGAGTACCGTACTTTTTTTTTTTGAATGCTATTATATATTTGTTGTCTAATGCAGTATTGTATTGTATATATGTAAATAAACAATCTATATTCCGGAAAGTTTTAAGTGTCAGATTCTACCTTTTTTCATATTTTGCCTTTAAGTTTTATTATTTCATTTTAATGAGAACTGTCAAATAGAATAAAAAAGAGATTTAAGAAAAAAAGGTTTTAAGGCAAAAACGACATTATATAAATAAATTTTTTTTTTTAAATCGCTGAAAGAAATGTATTGAATTTAGTTTTTCACTTCATTTGATTTTGTTTTGTTTTGTTTTCCGAAGAGGCATATTTTATGACTTAAACAGAGACAATGTCAATCTAAAATATTTCAGCTGTTTAAAAGTAACAGATAAATTATAATGAAAATTGAGGGAAAAAATCATCACCAGTCTTAAACACTGATCTTCGTTTTAAAATCCTAAACCCAACAAAAAACAAAACCCAGTTAGAACGACTTCATATTCCTGAAAAGCCTACGTGTAAATGGAGGGAAATCATTGGAGGCGATAGCGCATACAAACTGATCGTCAGACAAGAAGGAAAGGAGTACAATAGCAATATCACAGCGACACCTTACGGCCGGCAGGATCCCAGTTTCCCGCTATATAATTACCGTCATATTATGAATAATTAAAGAATCTTAAAATGAAGTTACACATGGGGCCACTCAGGAGAGTTACAAGTCGACTTTAATGCCTTGTTCATCTTTCGTTTCATAAAACATTATTGCAAACTCTATAAAATACAGGTTTGAAATTGCAGACTCCATTAAACAGCCTTTATTTCCTGCCATAATATTCATAATGGATGAATGGAGAGACAATCTACAGGAAAATGTCTGTGATGAAAACAACCCAGTTCTTAAATGTGTCAGTGAAGTAATTTAATTCCCAATAGAAATGTGCACACTTACCCTTTGTAAAACTTTCAGATTGCCCAAGCCATGGACTGGTGCCTAAAATGTAAAAAAAAACGTTACCATTAATCGAGTGAATTTCTGAAATATACATCCCTATTGCTTAAATTATTATATTACAAGTTACATAACATTCATAAAGTAATAAAATAATTTTAACTCATATTTAGACAAATTAACACTTTTTATCGAGTACAATGCAAAGCGTTAATGATGTGTTAATCAGTGTTTTGCGCGACGCAAGCAAACAAGATCAAATCTAACATTTATAAGTACTGTATTTGATCAAAAATGAGGAAATCGACGAAAATATTTATTGGTCACAACGTACACATATATTAAAAATGTTCCACTGAGATAAACTCAAAATTATCATTGAAATTATTTTTACTATCCTTATATTAATTCGGGTAAGAATGCATGAAGACAGATATCCTAATATTGTAGGAATGATTGAACATTGCATCAAAATTATATAGCTATCAGAAAAGCCTCAATTTCTATCAAACTTATTTGTATGTTATAGTTACTTTTCATTTTAAATTCAAAAAATAAAATTTAAAATTATTTTGCTTCTTTGGAGCTTCTTTGGATTGTATCTTTTAAAAAAAATCCATTGAAATGAAAAATAATTGAGTTCATGTATTCTCTCAAAACCATATAAATAGTACAGGAGGATAAAATGATAAATAAAGCTATAAAAGCGAGTCTGCAGGATTTGTAGTACAAGTATGATGTCAATGATAAATTTGTCTTATATCTGGTACAATAGTTTACTCAACATAGCTATATATGATTCTTATTTTATCATAATTATTTATGATAATATGAACTTAAGTTCAACATTGAGTGAAATATAAATGAGTATAGAAAGAACAAGTAAAACTCATTTCAAATGTTACAGGTATACTAAGATTAACCTACTTACGACCATCAATCCTTACTCTTATTAACTTTGTCTTCAGTTAGTTGATGGCTTAAAAGCAAGTCTTAAAACCCCCTTAACTTGATATATTTTTTTAAAAAATGAAATATTCTTTAGCAAATAAATTCGTGTATTGTGATTTAATATGATTTTAAATAAGAATCAAAACTGAATTAAAAGAATCTTTTACTGTATTTTTGATTCAAATAATATTTATATTACAACATACTAAATGATATGATTTTATTTATTTATTTATTCATTTGTTTATTTATTTTGCAATCTTGTAAATAAATATTAATAGCAATTACTTTTATTTTTATCGTCCTGAAAATCATGTTCAGATATATTCAATAAATTCATGAAAGGATTTAAGGAAGCTTCTTTGCACTTAGCATTTTAGCTTTGACAATATATGTTCATGATTTTAGGCACCATGCACAAAATACATAAAATAAAATGGCATAGATTTTTACAAAATTCAAATTTTTAAAACAAAATAAAATGAGACATTTAACTTTGTGTGTATATATATATATAATTATTATTATTATTATTATTATTATTATTTTATATATATATATATATATATATATATATATATATATATATATATATATATATATATATATATATATATATATATATATATATATATATATTAGTAGTAGTAGTAGTATCTGTAGCAGATTATTTTCAGCTTATAATAACAACTGCATTGGAAATCAGTGTTTTTATAAGAAATATAGCATAAAGTATATTTTACTCTTCATTATGCACATACACACATATATTATCAAACACAATACAAAAACTATTTCCTCAGGTTAATTAGAGATTCTATGCATTGCTCTTAAGCAACTTATAAAAATGTGATTATAATTTATAAAAAAAAAAAAAAAAGGGGGGGTTAAAGTTAAATAAATAGCATGTAAGTTATTCTAGTTTAATATTTTTTCATTGGCATTTTAGCCGTCAATGATTTTATTAATGCATTTTATTAAAGATATGTTATGAAAAATAATTATTAATAATCTAATTTTTATTTTAACTCTTATGTGCATGGATAAATGCAAATTTGGTAATTGAATTTTTCTTTTTAAATTCATATTTTTATTTCAGTTAAACATGAGTAACCATTTCAATGATTAGAAATGTTTGTTTTATTAATATACATAAAAATGGATATAAAATTTGTACACATCTTTCAGTTTTTTAAATCATATATATAATTATCTGACAAATACTTAGTAGTTTATCTATACATGTGTAGGAATAAATCGTTATTATTGATTATATTTTTGTTACTCTATTTTGCAAGCAAGAAAGCGATTTTTGTTCCTGTCATATATACATATACAAAACAAATCCCTTCATAACGATTCTAAAATATACACACAAGAATCAACTTCATTTTTGTTATGAAGTTGATTTGTTGTGCATGTCTTGGATATGGAGGATAATTTTGATGTGTATTTCTTAGGAACATACATAATTGTGACCAAATGCAATTTAGCTGCGGCGGTTATTTTACATCATATGCCGGAAATTTTCCTGCATGTATATTGCCTTTCAGATTACGTATAAATATGTTCTTAATACTTATTTTTCTCAGAATACTTTCAAGGATAAATGATTCTACGTATTCATTACCTTTTTTTTAATCAATCTTTCATTCAAACTATCAAACTTTTCAAACCATTTTAATTAAAACCAGTTTCATTGAATTATAAATAGATTTTGTATTTCTTTTAGATCTCAGAAAATTTCATATATGTAAATCTAAAATATTTTAGATTTTTTTTTTTAAATAAATAGTTCTATCAGTTTTTTTTTGTCTTTGTGTTCAGCTGGATTTATCATTTTGATAATTCTTATTTAAGTAAAAAAAAAAAAATCAAACATTTGTACAATTGTTTTCATTGAAAGATATACATATCAGAATTGACTGATATTTATTCTTATATAATACAAATTATTTTACTATGAATTTGAATAATGAAAAAATAATAAAACAAAAACAGGAGAATACAATACTAAAAAATGCAAATAAATTAACAACAATAACATAACAAAAGTAAACCAACAATAGAAAAGAAGAAAACAGCGAATCGAAACCCCAAAAAATGAACAGAACCAACATATTATAAAATATATTAAATAATATCAAAATAATAATAATAATAATAATAATAATAATAATAATAATTAGAAAATCATATCACATCAAAGTCTATTTAACTATTTCTTTGAAATACAATTAAAAATCTTCTTTTATCTTTTATAATCTTGCATCTCTTTATCATGTTCAATGTAATTGGAGGAATTTTTCTGTTGATATTTATTTTAATGCATTGTCGTGTATGAACTGTCAGTTTCTAAAGTCATATTCATTGTACTAAATAAAGACATTTTTCCATTAAATACATGTGATAGCACTGTTACAATAAAACTATTAATTTTAAGTAAATCTAATCATCAGATAATTAAAAGATACAAATTAGATGATTCGATGAAGATTATACGATTGGAGATTTGTATCACATGATTATCCTCTTGAACAATGAGTTTCATCACATCCGGATAAAATGATCTTTCAATTAAGACTTGTTCTTTCAACCTTCAAATCACCGCTCTGTCAATGATACAGATCGGTGTTGTATATTTCTCTGTCATGTACCCTGTATATTATATCAACAGTAGGAGGAAAAATGACAACTTAACTCAATGAAGAGGTTCAGTTTACTTGTAATTTTGTTAGTTCGGCGTGCGCCTTAAGTTGTTCTACAATTCTATATCAGTTTTCCAATAAATCAAAGGTTTTATGTCTCTTGTATATTGGAATCGATAGATTATTTAATTTACCAATAAAATGAAATAAAGGAATCAAAATTGGAAATGCAATTCTTGCGAGGACCCAAATCTTATTTGCCAATTTCACGAACAACTCGGCTCGAATTATCCGTCTCGCAGCGACTAAATTTAACTAAGTCAAATTTTCTAAATCGCTTTTGAAAAGAGAGGCCTTTCTTATTAAATTTTCTGACAATTTCGCTGTTTATATCAATTTTGCCTCGTAAATAAACAGAATTTTTTCAGCTTAAGCGAAAATTATGTAAAATGTGTATCTGTACATTAAGTAATCCAATTGTGCGACAATCTGGAGCGCTAAGTATGCGCCACTAACGCAGTTAGACGCACGTAAAACAATTTTCTTTCCCCAAATCTTATTTCGTCGGAGAACGGCTGAGCAATATAAGCGTAAATTTTGTTTTACTTACCAGTTGGGAAAACAGGAGGTTGTGGGTGATCTCGCGGGCGAGGCATCATGCTACAACTTGCAGAACTTATGCTAGGGTTTGGTGGGAAACTCCGCACCCCATTGTAGCGGTATCCCTGGGCAGCCATCTGGCCGAAGGGGTTACTATCCCCGTAGGTACAGGGAATATTACACCCTGCTAGAGGATTCTCCATTCCAGGAAGGGTACAGTTACCGGCATCAAAAGAATTCTGTCCTAAATACGAGTACTCCATTATCAAGAGCTGATGATGTTCAAGAAAGAGTAGGTATAAATGATGGTCAGTCGACTGCAAAACTTGGAGCGACAGATGCCCGCTACAGTTCGGGGACTTATGTTTTAACGAATTACTGGTGTCCCGAAAGCTATATTTTGATTAGGATAAATGGGTATTGATGAAGTTTACAAAGTGAGAAATTTGCAAACTCCTGGGACATTTATTTATGGAGAAAATGATTAAATTATAATGTTCCTTAGAAGAGAAATAATGAGCACAGCGCTCTGCGTTTATTGGAGAATGGAAACTTTGAGGCGGGCTCATCGATTTTATTCGATTCCGGTTTTCTCTACGTCGTACGTTACCAAAAGACAGAAGGCAGTTTTACTTTCACAAATATTTATAGATCTCTCTGATGTGAAAAGGGATACTGTTGACTATTTACCGATTTGATCCAGTACTGGACTTCACATGACAATTATAACAGTTACAAAATACTATTTAAATTCCTACAATATCTCTAAATGATATAAAGAATGAGAACTGATTTAAAGAAAATTGTTTTAAAAACTATTTCATTTAAATTTCTCTTCTGTTGAGTTAGTCATTGAACTGTTTCAACGGAACTATTTTTTCACATATTATTTGTAATCGTGTATTTAATGCATATATCTTTAAGAATTTTTATTAACAAATAAAAATATAAAAAATGAAATGAAAGTCTATAGCAAAAACTCGTTTTAATTTTTGTCAAGAAATAATTAAAAAAAGATATATGATGAAATAGTCAGATTTCTTTTCCTTGTATTTAATTCACAATGTAGTTAAGAATGCAACGGCTATTCGGAAAATGTAATTAAATTCTTGAACGCTACTTCTGTTTAATTTCTCTTGAAATTACTGTCCTTGTAATAAGTCAAGCATACTTTCATATGGTCCAGCTATGTCAAAAAAGAAAGATGTCTAATTTAGTGCAGAAAACATTTTCTCCCAATTACAAAATGTAAAAAGTCTTTCACTTCCTCATCCGGTCAGTGCAACACTTGAGTGCCCTCCAAAAGGAGAGGTCAATCTAGGCTGATCATAGAATAATAAACCAAATGTTTAAAAGCCCTCCAAAATTGAAGAGCATCCACTCGATGAAATTATTCTGAATATGAAATCAATATCAAAAGAACTTCAAAGATCTTCCCCGTCTGTCTCTAGATGACTCTTACCAAAATGAACTCCCTCGGTTGTTTGGTAATCAATTAAAGTACTGGAAAAATATTCTGCTTATGAATGTATTCAATAAAATGTTCCGAGAGAATTTATTAAAAAATTTTATAAGATATTGTTATAACATTTGATAAACATATTTTTTTTATATTAGATAAAGATTTTTTTGAGATATTTGTGTCCAGTGCCTTGATATTGAAAATATTTTAAAACTATTTGCATAGAGGTAAAGTTTCATGTTTTCGCTTATGAACACTTTTTTATGCTTTTGCTTCCATTTTTACCAAATATAATATATTAAAGACAAGCAATAGTGTAATATTTATAAACTGAATAATTTTTTGCGATACGAGGAAGTGAAACAAAGAAAAGTTACAATAAAGTAGCAAATAGATGGCAGACTGGGAAAAGCAAAGGCCAGACTGGTATTACTCGCCATTTGTCAATATTATCATTATAAATACGACCAACTAAACGGTACAACAAGTTAATCAAGGGCCAGTGAAACATGGCGTCTTTGTAGCAGTGACACTCGATCCCGATGTCCTTACAGCCAGAAAATTGGCCCTGATTAAATTTCGTAACATGATACCTTAATTGTCGATGTGTCTCTCATCATATTTTACCCATAAAGATTTATGAATTTTATCCCATATGAAGTTTGCTTCTTCTGAAGAACAAAGTTGCCTTGGGAATGTTAATTATAACACTTAAATCTGATTTGATTAATTAAATTTTTATGGTGGGAGAATTGAAAAGAACAGTTAATTTACTGAAATTAATTGTTCATTTATTAAGCGCCTTTGCTTCATTTTCCAGTACCGATTTTTTTTTTGGTGATTTGTCCATTTATTTGGTCTAATGTGTTCCTCATTTTATGCATCGTTATGGAATCCAATTTTAGTTGTTTTTTTTTATCAAGGATAATGGCAAAATGCTTTATTGACTTGCTGAAATATACTTCCATTCCTTGCACTAACAAAACCACTTTTTAATTCTAAAACTTAGGATTAATTATAGCAAGAAAAAATGCTTACAATATATCATCGTTGTTTATGGTTTCTCAGAGGGTATTTTTTTTCTTCTCCAAAACCATCCAAATGAAATAAATGCCAAATGTAGGGGGAAAAAGTGAAGCATTCCTTCCATGATTTATACATTATTCATGGAAACAATCAAGGGATGAGGAATTATAAAAAATCTAGTATCATTTTTATTAAATGTTACTTAGAATCCGAATTAAAAACTCACAATCATAGATGGTTGAGGGCATTATGTAAATTAGGTAATTGACAAGTTCTGACAATTAGTAATAATAACAATTTACATGCAAAAATTACATTATACATTCGTCATATATATTTTGTAAAAAAAAAAGAAAAAGAAAAAGAAAAAGAAATACTTGGTCGTTTATTTCTTTCAGCTCAGAACCCAAACAAAAAAAGTTAAATGAATCATATTTACATCCATTGAATAATTTTCTTGTTTATTTCTTATGAAACCCGATTTCCGTTAATCAATCGATTAAATCTAAACTAGTTTGTTTCGTTTGTTGTTTAACGTCCCTTTCGAGAATTTTTCACTCAGATGGAGACGCCACAATTTGACGGTGGATGACTGCAAATTTTGATCTATACTCGGCACTTCGGGCCATTGAACAGTGAGGGATCTTTTTCGTGCCAGCGCCTACTGCGACACGGGACCTCGGTTTGTACGGTCTCATCCATGGACCGATCTCCACGTCCCGCAGTGGATTTGAACCTGCGACGTAAGGATCAACTCCTTAAACCTAGAGCAAATGCTCTAACAGCTGCGTCACGCGGGCGACTCTAAACTAGTTTGAATCGGTTTTTAAAGCCACTTTGTATGAACCTCTATCCATGTAACGTACAGATCTATTGTACAATATATTACTTGCTTACACCCATTTTATAAGTGTAATTTATTTTATGGATATAGATATAAAAAAAATAGAATGTCTTTCTTTGTTAATATTAGAGAGAGAGAGAGAGAGAGATTCGTGATCAGAAGGTCGAGGGTTCAAGCCCCAGCAGATACAAACCTAAGTCGATAAAAACAGATGGCAACTGTTCCTTCCCCAAGCGCATTTTGAAGTGAAAGTTGGTTGTATTTCGGATGAGACCTTAAAAACCGAGGCCCCGTTTTGCTGCAAAAGATCCCTAACTGCTCAATGGTTCTAAGTGCCGACTAAATGTATGAATTTGAAGCCCTTCGCCAGTATATGAGTGAAAAATTCTTGAATGGGACGTAAAACAGCATACAACATTAATAATTAGCATATTTTATATTGTAACTTGGTTAAGTTAGGATTACTTTTTGTGTAATTCTTATTTCCTTCACATGTACAAAAGAATTCCTTTCTCGGTAGCTGCCATATATTCAAGATCTTTATTACTTTTAGCGAAATGAAAAGGTAACGAATAAACTCATAAATTTAGTAAAGAATATGAATCGTGGAAAAGGTTTACATAAGCCGCTTACGCGGGTTATGTATTTTTTCTGCAATATCGCAACCGTTGCCCTCACATTAACAAGCAAAGAAAGTATTTTATTGCTTAAGTAAGTGCAAGAATGACCTACAAATACCTGTAGAACAGTATTGACCAACATACAATTACCACTGAAAGTATAATTTTTGACTACAACACAGTGTCTTGAACATATATTATATATCAGTAAATGACTAGCCTGAAATATTCCACTACTCTTAACCAGCTCAATGCAGATACACGTTCAAGTACTATCCCGAATTAACATTCTTCAAAGTGATTTACCCATAATTTTGCATATTAGGGATACAGGAATTCAGGTGAATATATGGTTGATATCTTTATAATTAATTGATAACATATTTTTTTTTAATGACTTTGTCGAAAATATTTTTATTTAATTTGAGAGATGGCATGCATTATACATCTCATACATTTTAAACTTTACATAAATATTCACGCTAGAAAGACCTTGAATGACGACATATGACACCCATCTGACAAGTAAGTGCAGCTGAATGTATTACATGGCTGTTGACTGCAGTCAGCTTCCTTTTCATCAAGTGTTTGTTATTATTTTATCATGTCTAGAGTTGTTGATGTCTCCAAACTGCAGTTTAATCAAGTTTATTTCCCTTATTAGATATAGGGGTTTTAAATGTTGTTATCACAATCCCCATAACTTTAGTTAAAACAAATAAACATGTACATATATGTGTGAAAACTATTTTTGTCTATCAATTTTTTTTTTTTTTTTTTTTTTTTTTTGCAAAGTCACGACCCTTTTCGTTTTAACATATTTTACTCGAAAGAGTTGAATCATCTTTTAGATTCTTATTTGTCAGTTTTAGTAACATTTAATATATCTCTATATTTTTAAAGACAGAATAAAACGGAAATTAGGAGCAAAGTTGAATTCATTATCGACATTACTGTACACCACTAATTTTCGCGACTCATTATTTTCGCAAGATTTATGTTTGGTATTTATGAGCAAAACAAAATTTTCACGATTTTTATTTATTGTTCTATATATTCTTTAATAGTAGAATTATATGCGAGAATGAAATTTTCGCAAGCAGACGGTCTGGCGTAATTACGCAAAAATAAAGTTCTCGTGAATAAAAATGATTTACAGTATATAATTTCACTTATCGAGATGTTTCTCTAGGTTATGAATGTATATTTTTTTCAGTTTATAAACCCTGATAGGACATTAGCTGATATTCATAGGTATATCTTTTTTTTAAATAATATTTTATAGTTTACGAAGTAAATACACGTGAGTGGTTGTGGATATTAACGACCTTTGATAACTCGATTCTATTTGATAAGTGTATTTGTGAAATACTTTTTTTGCAC